TCACTTGCATAAAACTGAACTTTTAAAGCTAGCTAATGTTGTCTTATTCTCTGAAGTCAATGAACTTTCTCAATCACATTTAGCAGCAGTGGAAATTGCTCACCAACATTATCTCTATGCCTTGCCATCATTTCCTGTCTTCCTACATTACATTCAAATGTAGAGATTTCCCAAGGGTTTGAAATGAACTTTCTTCTCTCCTGTACATTGGCTCAGAGCCTCCATGACCTTATCCTCCTCTGTGGCACTATCTCTTTTCTATAAATGACTTCCACAGCATTATCCCTAACTGTGGCCTTTCCCCAAAATGCTCACTTGAAAGGCACACCCATAGAAAATTAGAACATCCTACCTCTCACTCAGAATCTGCTTGGTGAAAACATAACAATTCCTTCTTGAAATAAACACACCCCTCTATCCGCCCTATTTCCATTTAGGGTATTTTCCCCCCAAGTTATCTAAATTCAAAATTTTAGAACAAAGCATTGGGCCAACTCATTTTCTTACTCACATCCTATCAAATAATCTGCTTATTGCTCCTTTATGATCTTTTCTATTCCAATGTGTTTCCAAACTTTAGAATCCATTATGCCTTCTGCCTATGCCATTATAATGACCTTTTACTTGGTTTTCCCAAGGCTGCATTTCTCAATTCTACTTTCCCATATGCACCATATACAGGGTGGGGCAAAAGTAGGTTGTCAGTTGTTCATATGGAAAATAATGCAAAAATTAATAAGTAACAATACAAGAATAAACTCTGTTTCATGTACTCACAACTGTAAACTTACTTTTGCCCCATCATGTATTCATTACATCATATAAATGGCTATCTTAAATTATCACTTTCATTATGCCATTCTGTTTAACACAATTCTGGAATACAAACTCCTAATTCTTAGTATGCTACTTATGACTTTCATTTGGTTCTATCATAATTTCCAGTTCTGTTTTCCCTGCCCCTTCCTCTCTGCCTCTCAAGTTGGCAATATAAACCATATCTGCTTATTATTTCTTGGACATAGCTCATCCTTTCTGAGCTCAATCTCCTTGTTCATGTATATGCCTCAGCTTCCAGAACTCTCTCTTTTCTCCTTCTTTTGCTAAAATCTTCACCTATAAACATCCTGTCATTTCAAGATTCTCTAAGCTTCCCACCTATGGTCTATGCCTTCTAGGATCAATCAAGCTGAAAGTAATATCTCTCTTGTGCATTTCTCTAGTACCTAGTTTATATGCCACAGAAAGCACTTACTATATAGTATTATTAATTGCCCAGGTGTTTTCTCTTCCACTCTCTCCCCACATTACATAGTATATTTCTCAAGGTCAGGGTTACTTTTTCATAACTTTTTAATCCTACTGCATTTGGTATAGAGTCTTGCACAAAGCTGGAACTTGATTTAAAAAAGAAGTCACATGAATTCAGACTAAAACAATTACATCTAGAAGAATAGAAGCTATATAAACCTGGTCATTAGGAATTACTCCTTTCTAACTCTAGAGTTTACTAAAGTGGGTGACTTTGTGCTATGCAAATTCTCCATTCTTTTTATTTAGAAATCCATATGTTAATGCAGAATTTGGCTTGAGTCCCACAGGAAGAACAAAACCATTTCATTTAAATGTTCCCTCTAGTCCTCAAGAGTCAGCATTTTTTTGATGTGCATAAGTGGGAGAGAAGACAGAGGAACAGTGTTGTGTTTTCAAAGTAACTTCTACCGAAAGATCAATTTTCTTAAAGAAAACAACACTAAAAATAAAAAAAAACCCAAAATGGCTATTTTGGTAAAGAGTTTTCCCATTATAGAGATATATTTAAATATAATATAAGGTTTAATTTTACAGCACCCCCACCAAATCAAATAAATTTTTAATAGGGACATTTTTATAATAAATATATTTCTCTGTGTACTTCAGCAAATGGCAATGTATTGAGTATCCCTGTTGAAGAGACAATATCAGAATCTAAAACTTAACATTATATGTTTCTGCTAATTTAGATTTGTTTTATTATTTCAGATTTTGATCAATGGAATTCTTCTAAGTAAATTTTATAGAAAAATATGGCTTTTGTAGAATAGAAAAATTAAATAAATTCATTATGGGACATCCTAAAGAAATGAAATAGGTACTTTATTAAGAGAGAAATATATCCCAGAGATAACCAACAATCTTTTCAATAAGACGATAAGTGGGTACACAAGGATTACAGCCACGTAGTTTACTTTGTATAATCATGATCTGACATGAGCATGGCTAAAACATCCACAGAGACCCCACATACAGCTACTGATTGTTATAGTTGGACTTTTAAACAGTGGAAAGAAATGCTTTATGAAAAATAAGAGTAAGAGTAGATTATCGTGTAGACAACAAAAATAGAGGAGATAGTGAAACTACTTAAATGTGGAATGGGAATTGAGATCTGTTTTGTTATGTTATATAAGCAGGCAACTAAAATTTATTAAGTTAATGCATAGAAACGACAATGCTTTTATGACAAAGTGAATAAACAGCTATGAGCAAGAGAAATGTTAGATGAATACCTTAATTTAGATCAGATGCTAACTGCTAATAAATCATTACATGGCTATTGTTTAAGTAGATCTCTTCATTTCAGAGGAAAAATGTACTGTATTTTATCAGTCTTGCCTTGGTGACATCTCACTTCCCTGGATTGCATACAGAAAACCAAAACACAATTCTTAAAACAGATATGGGAAGACCACATCTGTAGATCCATTGACTGTAACACCATTTACTTACTGTTAAGTATGAACTTTGTATTCTCTCCAAGTCCATAAAATAATTTATCATTACCAGATAAGGGAAGTATCATTTGAATAAAAGCATTTTTCAAGTGCAGTCTGTACCACATTTATGAAGTAACTTTTGAGAGTTTCTGAAAAAAATGGCTTTGAGTTGGAGATTAAATATTGATTTTATGATTTGGCTAGTCATTTAAAATAAATAATCTCATAAATCAGGCTTAAATCTGGGGTTCCTCAGCGTCTTTAATTTTTTAGGTCAGGTCAAATAGCTCAGATAGCTCTTTCCCACTAATCCACTATAATATGCTGAAGATCTTTTGATCAACCACTTAACAAAAATAAAAGTGACACTCAAGTGACATACTCAATGAGTAAAGGTTAAACTTAACATCATTTATTATGTACATTAAGAACAATATATTAGGCAATGTAAAGAAAATAAAGAAAAAAACAAGAAAAGCAAAAAACCTGATTCCTGTCTTCAATTAAGTTATAGTAAGTTTAAGTCCTCAAATTTAACCCTTTTCTGAAAAATGCTACATAAAGATGCCCAAATCAGGCATTTACAAAGCTAAGCCTTTAGCAAACCTCCCCCAGCACCTCCTAACTCCCTTTTCCTGCTCCACTTTTCTCCAAAGCACTTATCACTGTCTGACATGCCATACTCATCTGCTTCTGCTCCATCGCCTCAGCCTAGGTTGTAAGCTCCCAACAGGCAGGGACTCTTGTCAGTTTTGCTCACTGCTGCGCATCCAGTGCCTGGAATAGTGCTTGGCACTTAATAGGTATTCAATAAATCTGAGAAGACCATTCTTATTTTGGTTTCCTAGACTTGTGGCCTGCATTTCCTCTCTAAGTGTAAGTGCATTTTTCTATCAAGCTTTCTCTTATGCACACAGTAGCCCAGGTTTCCATGTGATTCTACTTCTTGGGTGTGAGAGAGAATGAATGTCTTCCGAGCTTCAGCAGAATGGGGATAAAGCAACTACCCGTGGGTTGTTGTGAGAAATGAATGAGGGAATTCATAGGAAGGACTTAGCACAATGTCGGACACATGAGAAGTGTTCAATAAATGTTAGCTGTTATCGTTCCTACCATTACAGCTATTAAATTATTCTCTTCTGTTACAGCTCACCACTTCTTAAAAGTACCTCATGATTAATGAAACAAAGGACTTTTAGATTCAGGGCTAAGTTTGTATGTGGTTGAATCTCCTGAAAAAAACCTACTTCCTGGGTGGGTTGCTTTCAAGAAGCATTAAGCTTCTTGTTGTGCTCCCACAGGACTGTAGGTACCTCTCTATAGGAATCACCACACTGTATTGCAATTAGCTGATTATGTTCAGTCTTCTCTGCTACATCGTGTGGTCTTTTAGGGTGAGAAATCTTTGTATCCTGTCACAAAGCGGGCATTCTATAGATGTTTGTTTGCCCAATAGATGAGTTACTGTACAGAAATGAGACGGATTTCATTTGTAGTCACATCACACATGCACTTTCATTACAAAATTACATTTCTCAAAAGATGGTGTAGATTCAGAGAGCAGGCTAGAGGTCTTAGTGTCAAATAGTGATGCAGAGAGCAGAGTGGAGTGTGTATGAGAATAAAAGTAATGGAATGGAATTCAGTGATGTGCTGTGAATAAAAAGTGCTTAGAAGACCAATACAAAACCCACTCTTATTTTCTCATAAGTGGTTCCTCTATTTCAATAGTAATGACCTAATTTATATCCATCTTACTTTATGGAAGTGTGACTACCCAGGGAAAAAGTCAAATAAAAACATACTTGATAAAGTTGAAAAGCACAGTTATTAGAAATTAGGATCGTGGAATATGAAAAAGGCACACACCTATTTGACTATATGTAAGAATCAAAAGATACTTACCAGGTTCGAAAGTTGTTAGATATTTAACACCACAACAAACAAACTTCCAAGGAAACTAATTTAAAAGTCTTCCAAATGCAAGTTATTTAGAAATGCTAACACCTGTATTTTGATGATAAAAATTTATAATGCTTTATGCAAGGTAGAAAATAGAAATCTGTACCTCTGGGAAAAGAAAGATTGAGATTGGCAAATTTTATTGTTGAATTAGCCATTTAGTTGGTATTCAGAATAAAGGATCAGAGAGAAAACCCAGTATCAAGAGGCATCTAGTCTATAACCATCTCATGCTGTAAGTCTGTCCCTGTAAGTAATGCTTCTCATCAAGAAAGTACTTACATTGGGCCTCAGCCTGGCTGCCAGATCATAATACTTCTCGGCTGCTTCATTGAGGCTGGCCTGTCTGTTAAAGAAAAAACAAATCAAACTACATAATTTATTTTAAAATTTCAGATAAGTGAGCAGAATCATCATGCAGCAAAGTAATATTAACTTCTAAAAAATTACAATCACACCAGTCAAATAAGTTGCCTAAGTAGAAAAATGCCATTAAAAAATTAATGCATGGCCCTGGCTGGTTTGGCTCAGTGGATAGAATGTTGGCCCATGGACTGAATGGTCTTGGGTTCAATTCCAGTCAAGGGCATGTACCTCGACTGCAAGCTCAATCCCTGGCCCTAATCGGGGTGAGTGCAAGAGGCAACCAATCAATGTGTCTCTCTCACTTTGATGTTTCTCTGTCTCTCCCCCTCCCTTTCACCGTGTCGGTTGAAGATTAACAACAACAACAAATAAATGCATGAAATGTACTTGTCATTGTCTTTAAGGCATTATAAATAGTATCTCAACACAGTCAATATTATTATTTCAAATTTGTAATTAAGAATTAGAAATGTTATTTTTGTTTCCCAAGCTAACCCAAATAATATACTACAGAGGTAGGATTCTTTAGCTTCAACATGATGTCCCAGAAAAAATCTTAATTTTTAAAAATAAATTGTCAAACTTAATCATGAGTTGCTTGTTTTATAAAAATAGTGAATATTTGCAAGTTGTTGTTTTTTTTTTTTAAATCCTGTATCTATCTACAAAGCCACTTTCTTTCCAATTTAGGAGGAAAATCTTCCACTGTATGTAGCCTACAGGAAAAAAAAATGCCAGCTTCTCTCTCTCTGTGGTCTTAGGCCACCAGGCTGGGCATATGACACAGCCTCAGCTAGCTGGATGTTCTTGTTTGGAAGGCTTTCATTTCTGAGTGAGTGACAGAAAGATGAAGGGATGGCTAGAGCTCACTGACAATGGTGGAAGCCATGGGGCTATGTCCTCATTAGACTCTTTCGGTAAAGAATTGCTTTTGGATATCCTGAATCTTGATCTCTGGGGCTACCTTGTTTCCTCATACTATGTTTTTCAGCCCATGTTGAATTCAGTAGTTCCCACAGCCTTCAGATTGTTAGAGTCAATTTCTCTTTATTACTAACAAATACCATGAGTGGCACAGTTGACTTGTACAAATAAGACGCACACTGAATTTTATACATGTTTATGCATTGTCTAGTCTTACAATTCACAGCAAACCCCTACATTCAGCCATGTGGTTAGCAGAATAAATAAAATGCTGGCATCCTGAGGAAGCCCAGCCAATTAGCCATCAAAACAGTATGTTTTTGATCATGTCATGTTACTTCAGAAAACCTTCAAAGATGAGAGATTGTAAGAGCTAGAAGCTCTTGCAGGCTGTGTTGTAATCTGGTGACCATATTTGAGGGATGCAAAAGAAGTGCTATAGAAAAATATCAATTCAACTTCAGATGATCAACTCCAACTACAATGTGAACACAGTAGTATAAATGGATTCTGGTCCTACAGTTACTAGTAAATGCAGTAGTGTTCTCTTGAAATTGTGATGTTAAGAAGCCCTTGAGATAAGAAGATGGCAGAGTCAGGAATAAAGAGGAGAAGCAAACATTAACTTTCTCAATTACAAAACCACATTCAGGTTTTAAAAGAGAAGGCTAACTAGTCACACCTATAAAATTGAATTTGCACTTTGGTCAAGCCAAATAAAAACTATAAAGACATACCCCATGCAACCATATAAATTATAGAAATAACTGAAGATAACATGTCTCTGGAGAGAAAGACATACTTTTCTAATTTTTAAAGGAGAAATAATTAGAAACACTGCTATTTTTAATGGGGTTATAGAGAAAGTAAAAACCCTTGACCTAAGGCTCTACTGGACTCATGACATGTTACAACGTGCTGTTGCAATTTATAGTCTCATAAACGTTGAAGTTCAATTTCAATATGTCAAGAAAAGTACTTTATTCTAGTATGAAAGACTAAAATTTCCCTCACTAGGGTATTTAATGAAGGTTCCCTCCACCGACTTATAGAATCACTTTGGTTCAGATTCATTTGGAAATCTGAACCAGAATTCATTAGGTCATGCCCTGGAAGGGTTTTCTCCAGGGGAAAATAAAAGGCATGGAGGTAGGAAATTAGAGTAACTTAATACTACAAAGAAGTAATTTACTTTGAAGAAAAATCAACCCCGTATATGTTTAACATAGAAGGCATAGCTACCAATTATATTCATTTATGAACATTCAAATTCATGAGGTAGATAAGGATCAAAGGAGAAACTGAGAAACTCACTAGATGAAATGCCTTTAAAACAATAATCAACGTAAGTAAAAAAAAAAGTTTCCCTCTCCCAAAATATTCTTATTCATTTTTAAAGTCTTTATTATCTTCAGTGGTTTAATTCCCAAAGGACATTACTTTAGAAGACTTCATTTAGAAGACTTAGTTTCTTAAGCTAGAAGTAAAATTGATGATATGCCAATGAAATAGAAAAAAGTAGAATATATTAGGTTTGTCATATAACTGAAAATTAATTTTTACTCTAGGACTTCTAATATTAAATGGTCTTCATTGACTACTAGTCAGCAGGCATTTATGACAACACATGGCAAACCATAGGGAAAAGAGTATGTCAGTTCTATAAATGTACATTTATATCTGTTTCATTCTCTGGACAAGAGAACTCATGAGGAACTGTCTAAGGTCCACTTTATAGTGTATGCTGTATTTCATACAACAAGTATCCTAGAAGTGCTTAAAACTCAATTGCAAAGATGACAGAATCGTTAATCAACATTTGAAAACTGAGGAAATTAGAACTATTCTGCCAGTTGCTTAGAGGATCCTAAGGACTCCTAATTATAGAGAACCTCACCCACTGGATTTTTAGAGAGTGATTTCAGGACTACTGGGATCAAAGTATTTAATCAAAGGTGATACAATATACTTTTCCTGGATAACAATAGCATTTCTTTCTTTACTATTTCTTTTCTGGAACAGAAAATTTCTAAAGTTGCTACTTAGGTGTCATTTCTATTACAGGTTATTAAAACGAGGCTTAGAGAAGATGATGATTTTCCTCAGCTTATACAGGGGTAGGTGGTTGAGCTAGATGGGAGTCAAGGCCTCCACACTTAATGTCTGAACCACAAAAACATGCTGGTATCTTTATACACACCAAGATGTAGCACAATAAAATGTGGTATATTGTTCGGTGGCAGATGACCACGACCACTCCTACATCAAACACTAAGAAAGGAAAAAAAATGATTTTTTATTATTATGTTTAAAACCCATAACTTAAATGTAAGAGATGAGATTTAAAAAGGGGAGAATAGCTCTGGCTGGTATGGTTCAGTTGGTTGAGCATCATCCCATCTACCAAAAGGTTACTGATTTGATTCCCGATCGGGAGGCAATTTATCAATGTTTCTCTCTCTCATTCATGTTTTTCTTTCCTCCCTCTCCCTTCCTCTCTCTCTAAAAAAATCAATAAAAACATATTTTTTAAAAAAGGAAATGGAAGAATATGGAGAACATTTGCAGTCTCAGGTTTTACTTCCTGCCTAACTCCATCTCCCGAATTGAGAGAAGTGAACCTCACCAGACCAAATTGAGCAGAGTACAGTTTTAAGAACAGAGTGAAATGTACTATTCTCTTTTGCCCCATGGTCCTCACCTTCTCCCCAAAACAGGGAAGAGTAAGAACTCAGGATAAAAACAAAGAAATAGGGAAGAAGGAAACACAAGAACAATGCTGAGTGCTCACTTTCTTACTACCAGACCTCCCCTCTTTTTTTTTGGTGGGGGGGCGGGGGAGTCTCATTTAAATAAAGAGGGAAACCATAAATTTCCTATATGTCCAAGTAGAAGACTCAGAAGGTGGGTAAAGGGGAAAGCAGTTAGCTTTGCCAGGAGATCTCTTACGCCAGATGTAGACAACCTTATGTGTTAGCCATAACGCATTTCAAAAGTAAATGATTAGATTGTAAGAAAAATCACTTGTACCAAGAAGCTACACTGGGTCCAGATCAGTGACTATCCCTATCTAACATGCCACCCTAAGCGTCAACATTATGTCCCATATGTACAGAATAAGGATGTAATCATTATGCCAACAACAACCTCAAATGGAGGCTTCTTTCTTATTTCCAACACTTGCCAAATCGCATATATAAGGCCCTCCCCCTTTTCACACTATATGTGATCTCTCAGGGCCAGGAGAGGTAAGGAAGTAAAAAAGCCCTAGATGGTTTTTGTAAATTGGGCTATGAAGTAAATAATGAACCTTGAACCCCCCGCCCAATTCACTGGATTGAGCTGATTATATTTTAAATCTTTAGATTCAGTTTTTCTGCCATCAGTGAAAAAGTAGCCTCAGAGTGAAAACATATGGTAACAAAATTCACAAACAAATACTATTTCTGATTATTATAGAATTCCATTTTTGCACGTGGAACTATAAAACTTACATCTGTTAAAAATATAGAAATATAATTCATATATCTAATTCCCTCTCTGGTGTTATTTCATAATAGAAAATTATTTTTTTAGAACATAGGTTTATGGTCCAATATTCTTACAAGTAGAGATGTATAAAAGAAATTTTGGAATCAGTTATGTTATGAAACAGCAACTTAATATACCCTGTGAAATGTTTTAGGAAAATCTGATTAAAAGAATCACTTACAATTACCTACATTTTTATGTATTCCATGGGAATTATAAAATTTAAGCTCGCTAAATTTAAAATTACTTCCTTGAAATATAAAAAATAAAAACTCTAGTTGCATTGAGAAGACTCTCTTTAACTACAGTTATTAATAGTTGTGAATTATTAAATTTGAATTAAAAATCATTTAATGTATTTAATAACCACTGTATGACTCATACAAAAGAATATTTTATTAAAGTCTTTGTGATTATTTTCAAGGGTAACTTATGAGCATTTTTTTACTAGACAGCAGTTTGTTCCTATATCATGAAAGTAGAATGAAACAGTAGCTGAGGTTTCCTGGGTTCTTGCCAGCTGCT